CTTATAATTAAACTTATTGATTTGTGCTTTTGGAACAATGTTTGGAACAACTAGAACAATCTATATCGGTATCGGAATGCTTTATTTTCAAAAAATGGGGTGCCAGGTTAAAAACATTTTTTTCATTTTTTGGACTTATAATTCAACTTACGGATTTGTCCTTTTGGAACAATGTTTGGAACAACTAGAACAATCTATTGCGGTATCAGAATGTTCGATTTTCGAAAAGTGGGGTGCCAGCTCAAAAAATCATTTTTTTTGTTTTATTCAAAAACCGTTTCGAATGAAGCAATATCACTTTGGAACAATGTGGTACAAAGTCAGAACAATCTGGAACAACTTTCAAAATTATAAATTTCAAAAAGTGGGGTGCCAACTTTATACACTCAACACCGCAGGAGAAAATTCGGCCTACTCCAGCGAACACCAGCCGACAGCTGCAGGAATAAAAGCTACAGTCCGACATCACGAAGAGGAAACGTCAAACGACGCTGGCACAACCAATATTCATAAAACAACCAAGCGTCTACGTATAACCGCGGACGAGCAGATAATAACGATCGATATTAAAATCATACACCTCAAACCTGAGAAAACTTGCGCCGAACCGCCTACCGTAAAAATAAAATCGGGAAACAGATCGCGTTCGACCGAACACCCGTCATTGTTCATATATCGAGAAGAAGAACTATCAAAGTACCCGGCCAGGATATCCAGGCAACACGTGGATGGAAAACTGAAAATTCCGCTTCCACAGTTCAGGCGACGTATGTTCCATCCGTTAAGTGTAAATGTCCGGGACGTACACTTTAAAGCGAGGGAGTGGTGTAACGATCTGTGCTAAAACACGCACCGCGCAAAATCAATAGGAAAACGAATAAAATCAATAGAAAAACGAGCTGAGACGACAACACCCGAACGCCCGCGGAAACATCCGAAAATCGCGAAAAGCAAAAAGCGACGAGATGAGACGACAAGACCCGAACGTCCGCGAAAACATCCGAAAACCGCGAAAAACAAAAGGCGACGAGATGAGACTTGCACGCTCGCTCAATCGCGAATACCGGACGAGTAGAGCTATCAGTAGCGACTCCGAGTACTTTTTTTAATATTGCTCTATTCTGACATAGATCTTACCCAGAAATGCTACTTGGTACAACGTCAATGACGTTTTCGTCAAAGTTCTCGGATCTCGCGCAGCGAACGTTAGACTGCCGGTTCTCATGTCCGTGGTGGTTTTCAAGGTTTGCGCTGTCAGTGGCACCGTCTTCACTCCCGGCGGCCAAAGGGTGTTCAATACCGCCGTTAGAGCGAAACTGATGTCCGACAGCCTGAACTTCGGCACGTCTACGACATTAATTCGAGATAATGCAAATAATTTGTAATGTCGCCTTCTCGAACGATGCTCTTACCTTTTCTTCCAGTCCCGACACGCAGGAATAATGGTATCAATAAGTTCAGAAGCGTATTCTCCGTGCGAGTCTGAGAAGCGAACATGCTCTGGCCACCGAGAACGTTTTCCAAGGAATATCCTTCGCCGAAGGATATCACGTGCAAAGCGATCAAACGCAATACTGTCGAGCAAAAGTGCTGAGGCGGTATCTTGCTCATTAAGGCGGCTGCGGAAGCTGACGTAACGTCTTCGGGTGGAGTATCGCCAACAATCAAAGCCTAAAAATTGACAACGATATGTAACTTCTAAATATAAATGCATAACAAATACAGAATTAACATTCTTCAAGACCAAAGAACGCGACTACGTCTAAAATATTGGTGAATCATATTGCTGGTAAGATGGAAAATAGCAATGCTAATATTCACCTGACATGTGTTTAACAGCGTCTTCAGGTACTGGAAGTGCGCGATGTACGGACATCTCAACAGAGTCTCGTAAACTCCTTTCAGAAGATCACTGGCGGCGGCCCAATCAGTATTCCTTCTGATCGATGCTTTTTTGTGTATCTTGCTGAAAGTTTTATCCAATCTCCTGAGGATTATCATCAGCGCCGGTCTCATGTCGTCAGCCGACCACTCGGTCGAAGGAAGTATGTCGTTCATGTATCTTCTTAGACCGCGGCAACCCATAGTGGTCGGGTCGTACGGCGAGATCTTCAAGAGACTGTGCGCGATATCGGCTAGTCGCTACACGAAGAATCGCAATCGTTACTTCCAGTTGCGCTAGTTATTAATTGTCTATTGGATGCATTGTACACAGTGATAAATTAATTGTTAATAACAAGTATATGGTGCTCTCTTAAAATGAATCAGTGAACAGTCACTGATATTAGTTATAAGTATAACACTGAGCAGTTTCAACGCAACACTTATAACTGCAAATCAGTGTATATTCACTGTTTTCAGTGATGTTCACTTATTCATTTTAAGAGAGTTTGTAGAGTCGTTAAATTACCACGTGACACTTCGAATCCAGCAGCTCGATGGTCTTCCCGTCCTGAGATTTCTTGTTGAGTTCAATCAGACGAGCGGAGCAACGTGTGACGAAGTCCCCGACCATGTTCAGTAAAGTGTCGCGCGGTCTCCTAAATTCGTACTTGTGGAAATTTTCCGCGTCCTCGTTGTCTCGATCGTAGAAATTTCGAATCTTCGAATGTTCCATGTACTTCACGTGGGTATCCTCCTCGAAGTCGAAACCCGGTGAGTACGGACCTTTGCCGTAGTTTCTTTGACTGGAGCCCTTGTGTTCGGGACTCAATTTCTGAGGACCGTTGTAATATCTATAAAAGTCAAGAAAGCGTTGATCTCTCATTAAGTAACTGAGAAAAAAAAGAACACAGTAAAAGTACCAACTATCGGTAACATAACTTTTATTTTTTACTAATTTAGCACAGATTTAAAATATTTCGATTGGAATCTCGGCTAAAGAAATTTAAAATAATTCGTGTCTCAGCTATGCCCATCTTGTTAAAATTATTTAATTATATATTTTATTCAATTTTATTTCTTATGTGTTTTTGTTGCACTTGTTGGTAATAGGAGTGAGAATATTAAAAAGTTGTAAACTGCTCGTGAAACTCAAAGTGGACCAAAATGGAAAAATATGACCTAAATATTTTTTGTACTTCTACATTTGTGCCAGATTAGAAAAAAATCGGAGTGTACCTTTTTGGTAGGTTTACTTATAAGAGAAAAAAAATGTTTGTAGCATTCTCTCTTGTCAAGAAAATCTTTATTCTATAATATTTAACTATTCGGAAAAACGACATTAAATTAATATAGATCTCGTATACTTATATATAATTCACTAGTGCACATCATGCATGCAAGGAAAAGAGAAAGGAGGAGAGGTCACACCACCATGGTTAAAAATCTCTTTGTCTCAGTGAAGTCGGGTTAGTTAACTTGCTGAGATGGTTAAATCCACCAAAAATATTACAGAATTAAATAATATACCATAGAACAAAGCAGAAATAAGTATAACGGTTCAAAATAAAAAAGCTGTAGGCTTATAAAGTAAAAAAAAAATGTTTCATACATACTTCGTTAACGCCTCAGAATTGTTAACCAATGTCTTAACAGCGATGGCTAATTGATTTATTATTTCTTTCTCTGTCTTGTCTTCTTGCCTTTTGTACGTAGGAGATTGGATTTGTTGGACGTAACATGGTAGTATCGCCTCTAGTATTATCTATAACGGAAAAAACGTGATGTTAGCGCGAACTTAGCGCACCTTTTTTTAAAAATCTATTTTTTTGTATTTAATGAC